GACATAGACACTGTGTGTGCTTGGCATTTTACACCTAGCTGTTGGGACTTTCATGATGGGGGTTGGTGGGCGTTGCTCAACACCAATCACCACTGGTCTCCTTGAGACCAACTTTTTGGTAATATTCTTCCTGCACTGGTTCCTCAAATGTCCTTGCTCCCCACAGTTCCAACAGCCTTTCTTGGTAGCAGCCTTTCCTCCTGTATCATCTCCCCTGTGCTGAAGTTTCCAGCATTGAGCTCTCTTGTGCCCAGGTTTGTTACAGTGCCAGCAAAGTCCCTCAAACTTCTCTGAAAGCTGACCTTTTCTGGCCTTGAATCCAGATGACTGTACCAACCTCGGTACCTCTGTGCTGGACTTAACGTAGGATTCAAATTCGAAAGCTCTGGCCATTGCATCCTGCATGGTAGAGGGGTGTGCTTGCTTCACTTGTATCTTAAGTTGTGGACTGTCCAAGGCATCTATAAACTGATCTCTCAGCAACAACTTGAGGAGATCGGGTGGTGCAGTTGGGTAGGCCTTGTGTGCCATGCTTTCCAAGTCCTGTGCCAGCTCTTGCAGGCTCTCCCCTTTAGCACGGACTCTATTCCTGAACCTAGCCCTGTAGACTTCCGGCTGATTTTGGGTTCCGTACCTGAGTTCTAGAGCCGACACCAGTGTTCTATAGTTGTGTCTGTCGGCTGCTGTCAACTGTATTTCCAGTGGTTGTCCCTTCAAGCTCGTTGCCAGATATACTACTTTCTGCTCCTCTGTCCATCCATTCATCTCTGCCAGTAGCTCAAACTGTGCTCTATATGCTTCCCACGGTACTTTCCCATCATATTCCTTCGCACTGGATCACTCCTATTACTAACATTCATATCTGGGATGTGACTTCTAACAGGGCTGAAGATGTCTGCCATAGGGTTTAGCTGCAAAGTCTTGAAGGGGCTTGTCATTGTCTGGGGCTGGTTAAGTCGATCGTTAATGTATCCTCCTTGTGTGAAAGACAATAAATCGTCCTTTAACGTATCTAATTCGCTTTTAAATTTACTAATGTTTTCCATTTGTTCTTCTTGCCACTGTTGTAGTCTCTCTTCTTGTTTATTTTCTTTCTCCTCCAATAGCTTTGTAATCTCTCTTCTTGTTTCTTTTTTTTCCTCCAACAACTGCTGTAATCTCTCTTGCTTATTTTGTTGTTTGAGCTGCCACTGTTGCAGGTTTTCTTGCCACTGTTGTTGTCTCTCTTCTTGTTTCTTTTCTTTTTCCTCCAACAACTGTTGTAATTTCTCTTCTTGTGTATTTTCTTTCTCCTCCAATAGCCGTTGTAATCTCTCTTCTTGTTTCTTTTCTCGTTCTTCTTGTTTCTTTTCTTTTTCCTCTAACAACTGTTGTAATTTCTCTTCTCGTTCTTCTTGTTTCTTTTGCTGTTCTTGTATTGCTGCCATTAAGTCTGCTAGGCTGTAGTTTGATTTGCCGATTCTCGTTTCCATTTTTTTTATCCCACTTCTGACACCAATTTGTTACGCCTCCAGTTGTTAATTAATTTTCCGTAACTTCTATCCGACGAAACTTTAGCGACACAAGTCCTTTCTTAAATAAAACTGGTTTATTCTTTCCGAATACAACTTTACGTTACACTTAATTTCAACAGTCGCTCTATAACAACACTATAATTCACGTCTCACGAGGCCAACAATATTTTGTCCGTATACATTTAATTACTCATTACACTGTTATATCGTCACGTTGTGACCATCGTATATATACCAGGCTACCCCCAATCTAGTAAATGCTAGGGCATTCACGAAGGTTCGAGAGAAAGAGTGGTGTGATACTAGTCACGTGACCTCGCTGACGCAACAATATAATAAAGCTCCTTTATAAATCATCCGACAAGTTATATCATTTAAAATTTCTTGCCCGTCAGTTCTATGTAGCCAATTAACCAAATAAGCCATTATAAATGTTGATATGAAAAAAAAAAATCAAACACAAAGGTCTATATACTGATAATTGACTGGAGATGTTTGAATATATTAATAGAAAAAGTTACGACCGTTTTGGTTCTAATTTTTTTATATATCGCAACGTCATAAAAAAATATTTTACGTATTTTTGTTAAGTTTATTTGTTCTTGACTGATAATATTTATTTTCTCATTTTAATAGTTGTATCCTGGTATCTTGAGAAATGTTTTAGTTATCTTTCTATTTTACAAAGGTAGTTGGGACAAATTATCGATCAAATTCATAGTAAGATAAATACTCTGTAATTTGCAGAGAACAGTGTTCGTAAGGCCTCATTTTTTGTTTTTATCTTGTTAGATCTTGTTCCTCCTGTGGAATAATCCGAAAATATGTATCTCATTGCTGGCAACAGGAATTAAGTTATTCAATTAGAAAAGGAGAACGAGAAAAAAAAGTGCTTTGATTTGTATTTCCATAATATTTCATTTTTCTCATATGTTACACTTTCCAAAATTATCATTTAGGATGTTAATTTTGTTATTGTTGCTTTCATAATAATTGTTACTTTCAGGCTCTCACCATTATATATCTAACATCGACGAAAAATTAACTCTATACCTATTTCATATAGCATAAAATGTACGTTGTTGACGAACTTTATGTAATTCTAGATTTAGATGTGTGGAAGTCCTTCACTTCAAAGAACGACTGACCATTTGTACCTTGCTCAATGATAACATGTAAGTACATTAAGCCATTTCTAGATATATACCACGTCTTTTTTTCTTTTTTTTAGGTTGTTATTGTTAACAAAGTAAGTAAACTTCATCGAATTCTGAAGTTAGGCAAAAAGTAGGCTTAAGAATGAATACTAAATAACATTAACAGCACACTGCACAGTCAAAAACGAAATCGTTATTACATCTTGGTTATAATAAAATTAATATTATATTTTTTAAACGATAGAGCATAATTTGCAAGTCCTACAAAACTCTACTGGACCGTGGACGGTGGAAAGTCTATTACTGTAACCTCTATTCAATAGTCTTATTATTAATGATTTAATCAATGACTGACTTTTAGTTTTACTTCACTGATATATCACTATTAGTATTAGACCAAATTCAAGAGTAATACTAATAGTTTATACATTTTACATACCTCTTTACTTTTAGTTAATATCTAAGTTCATTTCTATTACTATTAGCTGGATTTACAGCATTTTGTTTCTACTTTTCTGTTAAATAATATTTATCACTTGTTTTATATATGTATATATATATTAATAATAATCAAATGCCAGTTTTAATATCCAGAAAATTTATCTTACTGTAGAAGTATAACTGCAGCTTCGAGTACTGTTGTTAGTGTTACTAGTTTGTACATATTTACTTCAACCTCATACAGTTACATTGGCAGTTTGCAACACAGCTTTAGCCTGATAACAGATTAGACCAATAGCATTTTCTTTATTTAGATAACTAGCTCTTCCTTTTATTTTACAATCATGTTATTATCTTTTGGTATAATTATAAGAACATAAGTTATGAGTAGAAGTGAAGAAGAATACACATTGTATAATAATTTATCAATCACATAATATCTGTTATATGTCATACAATACCCTAGAAGTTAAATCATACTTGCTTCCAAGAATATTCTTCCTTTTATAAGAATATAAACAAGCTTAGGACAGATCATTCAGCCCATCAAGGTTGCCCTCTCATTTTATGAACAAATATCCAAAGCAATGTCCTATGCTAAATGTAGAGGTAGTCTTTTTTTTTTATACTCGTATAGGCTTAGACCATGTAGGAGTGCTACGGTGAGTTTCACTCCAGGAAACCTGGTCAGTGAATGAATAATATTTCTTCAAAATTGGTCTTATTTGGAGTATTAATTCACATAACATATTTATATATATATGATAAATTAATTACAGTTCTGTTAAAATGAATTAGAATTCATGAAGTTTTTAAATATACCTTTTTTACCTCTAGAATATGATTCTAATGGAAACATCATATTTGTTTACGTACTAGATCAAATTAATGAAAACTGCCTTTTATATGGACACATACGTCCAGGATATTAGGTTTCAATTCTGGCATAATGACCTTATAGTCCAACCCTGTACACACATTTTATGTTTTTTCATACGCAGTAAATTCCTGATTACAAGTTTTAGTAGAGTATATCTATTCCTTATCTCAGTTATCCTTATATCCACTTTTGGTAAAAGTTGTTATTAACATTAAAATCAATGATATGTATTTTATAAAACCCGCATTTTTTTATAATGATCATTTTAGGCAGAAAAACAACAGAGGAATACAAATGGCAACAAGGTTTAAAGGCAAGTTATGATCTAAAGTCTTATTATTGAACTTCTTCAAGTATACAGTAATTATGTGTACGTACAGTATAAACTACACGAGAGTTAATAATTTCCCTGTATGTGTAAAAATTGTGTCATTTGATTACTTTTACAAACAATCTGAGGCTTGTACATGTATATTTATATTCGAAATGGAGGAAGATAATGGAGTGGTACTCATACATTTGGTGTATTTCCAACATGTGGTATAATTTTTTCATAAAGATTCATTTACATATAGTTTAAAACAAACATGTACCAAATGAGGCTAGTGTTTTAAGGTTTTTTGCCATTTTGTAATAGAAATTGTATATACTAACTAGGATATTGTCTGTATTATTCACCGTTGATTAGCATAATATTTAATGAAAATCTAAACATGTATATACCAAGTAAGAATTAATATTCTCAAACACAAATCTTTTTTTTTTGGTTAACACCAATTTTTGAAGCAAAGTTGACTAATAATCGTCTCTTTGTTGTTGTTTTTTTGCACAGTTGCAAGATGGTTCTTACAGAAAACACTGAACTTTATATATAGTGCAAATCTTACTTTTGATATATACTTGTTTAGAAAAATGTTTATTTTTCTGTTGGAAATGTTTTTTTGCTTCCAATGATTCTCTTTAGATAGATCTTGACACTGTTAGAGTTACTTAGGAATTTATATAAAATAACCTCTTTAAAAAAAAAACTCAAGAAAATTCATTGGTATAATATTTTTTTCGGACTGCATTTTATTGTAAGCCTACTAATAACAAACTACTACTTTTTTGCCATAATTTCACCAGTAGAAATTTCATCAAATTTTGTTTTTACAAGCTTCTAACCAAAATGACCATTTACCCATTAAAAATCATGGAATACAAGAGATCTTAAGTTCTGAAGTGTGTTGATGTGACCTGAAACAGTTTTCGTTGTTTAAATGAATTAGGTTCTTGAAGTAGTGTACATTCATAAATATAAATATGTTTATTCAAACCATATAGATACTTGCAGTATTTTTTTTTTTTGGTTTTATCAATTAGTTGCACAGAATGATACACAAATATTTACATGATGTGTGTATTTAGATAACGTATGCTATATTGTTTAGTGGTTTATAATAGCATTTAGTTACATCACCATAGTTTGCGGTGGAACTATTTTCAGTTACAAATATTACTTATATTATCCTATAATTACATTTTTGTGTTCTTCTTTTATTTATTTATATTTTTTTCTATGAGAGTTTATATAGCTTTCAAGATGTTTTGTCATATCTCACTGATATAAATGTTTAATCATAATTTTTTGACTTATGCAAGAAATGTAATGTATTTTAAAAGTTAAAGCAAATGGCAAAAATAGTGAGTATCAGACATATTTCTGTATTTTGCATTACTATATATTTAGTGGCAAAATTTCAATAAAGAATATCAGTTAATCAGTACAGATCATAAGATATTAGAGTCGTAAACTAATTAACTCATCAAGAATTTTAGCAGATCTTAAATAGTAATAAAATCACTAATAAGTAAGTCCTTGTTTCACCCGTATTCTGTTTAGGATGAGAACAAGTTTTTGTTTCATTGATAGGTTGTTTAGGAAGATTATTCATGATGAAACTTTGTAGAATGGACAGCAACTGCCATCCATTCTACAAAGTTTAAAGTTTTTGTTAATTATCAAGCCATTTTAAGTAGTTTAAAATTTATGAACAAATACAATAACCTGTTATAAAAATGTACATGGAAATTTGAATAAAATGTATTAAAGTAGCACTGAATTAAAATTTTGGATGTGAGATGTTGATACTCTTAACAATACCTGGTCATTTTGTTTGGAGCATTTTGTTAGTCTTCCTGTTATCTTGGGATAGAGTTGGGAAAGGGGAATTTTTTTATGATGATATAATGTAACATAAATAATTTGGCTAACAATTTGTCATTGTTTAAATGATTTCTGCAAGGAAGGTTTAGGAGTCTTAACTTTACTTGCCACATCAACTCAACATACATTTTCATAATTAAGAAACTAAAACTCAGAACATATAACTTATTTTTATGTATTATTCAGAAAATAATTTTTCTTAGAAAACAGCTTCAGTGATAGAAATGTTAACAAAGAAAGTTAATAATAGTTAATTACAGGTATACTGTGTAATCTTAAATGAAATTCATTGATTTTAATATATTCACCCAAAATATATCACACTGGCATAAAGGTAGTAATTGCTTGAAGACTGTAAAAAAAAAAACTTTATTGGGATTAATTTTCTCAGCACATTACTTTATCTGTAATTAACTCTTTTAGGTATTATTTTGTGTTTACTTTTATTGTACATTTATTTTCCAGTAGTATTTGTGTCCTAGTAAATGGGAGTCATGTTATAATGGCATAATGGCTTATCCAATCAGTGTTGTTTAAAGTCTGCTTCATTGTTATTTTTCTAAATATTTTGGTAAAAGAATGTTCCAATTATGTAGTTCACTTAATTGTCATTTTTTGGGATATCTGTACATAAAAGTAATATCTGTTTTTAATATTTCTATTGAATGCTTTTTCCTTCCAGAAAATCCTGATTTTGCAGCCAAAACTAAAGCTTTTTTATCAATGGCATCAGCTGGGAATGTTAACCTGCCAAGATATGAGGCAAAAAGTGAGTTCTAGTTCAAAATAATATCTTTACCTACTGCACGTACTTTTCATATTTAAGAGATCATTACAAAAAAATAAAATGAAACACATTTAATTTGAAAATATTTTCGAAAATATTTATATCTTAATTACATTTTATACAAATAAGAGTGTTATCCAAATTTTTTTTTCAGTAAGTATTACCTCTTTCAGTATAGATTTGGTCCCTGGGACTGACCTTGTAACCATTTTGTGCTTGTTATAGTTTTCATGCTATAACTTTTAAATTAGTAAACGAGTATTAACGAATTTTGGCAGATTATCAGATTATTACAATGCTTTCATACGCAAAATATATAATTTTTTTTATTAAGTCTTAAGGTTTATAAATCAATGTTTTTCTCATGTCATTTTTTCCTTTTCACATGTTGCCTATCTATCATGCAAAGTAATATTCATTTTAAGATTAAAAATACTTTTATGCATCAGAAAATTTTCAAATTTCACATGCGAAATCTTTCTAATGTCCAGATAGTTGTCAAATGTTTCTTGAGAAAAACTTTATATTTTATCCGTTATTTTCAGTAATTAATCTCTGTACGTGTTTGGCAGATTTGACCTATCTTGCAACCACCATAAACATTAGGAAATATATATAAATTACGG